TCCTGTCAAGGTGGTTAGTCGCACGGGACAGTCCATGCGGGACTTGTGGTGGATAAAGTGGCACTAGGTTTTGTCTGAGTCATTTAGTTTTCGTATGTCAGTATCATTCAACCGCTGCTCCATATCAGCTTATATGTCATCTGGAGGATAGACAAAGGACCCGTCACAATCCCAGTTCCACAAAGAGACAGTCGCATGTCATCGTAACGATACCAATAATAATATAGTTTATTACACAGACGACCGGGACTTCTGCATTGAAAACTTGGTAACTAATCGCTCGATCTCTGGCAGAGGGCTGAATTTTTATGTGTATTTTATTTAGATAGCCGTCATGGCTAATATTCACTCTCGTCGAGTTATTCTATTTTGTGATATTCTGTAATATTTGCGTCAGCTGCAGTGGCTAATTGCGTTTGTGTAACAACTATTTTCTTCTACTAATTAATCTGAAAGCAGTTTATTTTAAAATAATATAGACAAAAAAAGTGACAGTGGAACTACGGTTCCGGAGAATTTGAAGTAAATACGTCTATACAGAAAGGAAGTTTTATTTAGTGTTCTGTTTGACGACAGGTCCATATGAACAGGATTCTTCCATCCTTTTCTCGGACTGGGACCTTTCATATACGTTCTTGGCAGATGATCCAGAAGTGGTTTGCCATTGCCTTCTTCTGTGTGTGAATGGAGTAATTGTTGGGATGCCACGGAGAAACCGGGGAAGCCCCCGGAGGAAAACTCTGTGTTGCCTAGACCACGGCCTTGCCCAACACAAGTTATAAATTCGGGCACCGCCGGGAATCGAACCCGAGACATACAAGCTGATCATTGTTGTCAGTCCATATTTACAAATTGTTGATATTTCCTAGGTAACCATCTTACACTTTTTCATTTCCCTTTTTCGTTACACTTTTTTGCCGAATGACCCTTCCTTATAGACGTATTTACGTCAAAAAAACACAATGTGCAGGAAATATGTTTGACAAAAGAAGGGAATATAAAGATGGCCGTATTCTGGGTTGTTGCGCCATGTAGTCTGGTAGAAGTTTACCGACGTTTCAGAGGTGTTTATTGTCTCATTATAATAAATATAGGTTTACAGCTTGCTGCCAATAACATTAAACTTATAGATTCCTGACTTTGATATATTCTGTGTTTTGACTGTACAAATCTTAAGGAGGGCCCCCATAGACTGCTTGGCCTCGGGCCCAGCGCCCCTCTAGGGGCAAGCTCTGAGAAAAATGGCGATAAAAAGAGTTTACGTGAGGGATTAAATTATGTGTTATTCGATCAATTTCCTACCATAGGATACAAGAGCAAAAGTAGGGAGAGGAGATATTTTTAAACCGAAAATTGCTAACTAGAATTTCCACATACATAGTAGACAAGCGATAGTCCAAATAGTGCGAGACTGGTAAGAATAGCGTTCATATCAAATGTTGGTTTTCTTGGCCTTCTTTGTATTTATGGTTCGTACGGCGGTGAAGATTTCGATATTGGTCTTCTCGGTTGTTGCACAGTGTGAAATTGTAGACAGGCACCGACATTTCGCTATCAGTTTTATACGCTTTCGCTACAAAGTTGCAAAAATTAACCTTCCTCCATGTCTTCTTGCACGTAACAGATTAAGAACTGCTTAATGGATCTTATGACGTTTGATATTGGGGAGTTTAACTACAATTAGTTCACACAGCATTGAAAATCTGAAGGCAGTAACAGATCGAATGTGCCATATGTGTGCACTTTTCCTTTCTTACAGGCCGTCCTAACAGAATACAATACCACGGACGCCTTCAAATTGTGGCTGTTTTAAAACATTATGATCTCTAAACAGAATCATAACATTAAACTTACAAAGAATTGTTCAGAAACCATTCTGTGTACAGTAAATTGGTACGTAGCATAAAACACGAACCTCATTAAGAGCTGTTTCACTGACTTGTTTCAGCATGTGAGATGGATTGTACAAGACAAGACAAGGGAGTTGAATCTATTCAGTAATTATATCTCCAGTGTGGTTAGCTTCACAGCAGCTCTGGTCTCAAGAATAATGGAAACTGTAATATCGCTAAGGCATTAGAAAAACACGAAAGGGTATAATCCACCTTTACAGCACTCGTTAAAAGTAATAGGTCAACATGTATATAGAATTTGTTTATAAAGATACTGGATCGTAGCTTTAATGTGAAAACATGTTGGCTGTAAGCATACATGTACAACGCTTGCAGGCCACGAAACTCAGAGGCTAGTAGTAAAATGTACCAATGTCCATTAACTTAAAATTGTGTGTGAGAAGATGTTTGAACGTATCTATTGCGATTAATAATTTAACCAGTACCTGTCGATTAAATTACAGTATCCAAAAACAGGAAAATTATACGTTTTATGTAAAACGTGTACTATTGCTTCTCCAAACTAGGAAAACAAGAGAGCTTGTTAAAAATTATAATTGTTATAAACTATAAGTCAAAGGTTATAGTATCCACGTACCGTGACAACTGCATTGTAAAAAAAAGTCTCATCTCGACAAACTTATTCCGGTATTATTGTCGTTGTTATTCAGAGAGCCAGATAACAAAGGAGAAAGAAAATTAAGAACGAAACTGTTGCGGAAAAAAGAGAAAGCTTTAAGCGGTACAGACGAAGATACAATGATCCGTATAAGACGAGAAAGATACTCCAATGTGATACAAAGCTGAAAACGGGGCAGAATATTGTGTCCGCTTTGGTTGTGGAAAATGGCATTTATCTTTACTTGAGGATTGTAATTGCAGATAATATAAAGAAAATGTTTGTAATATTCGTTGCTATTATTCCTGAGTGAAATACAAAATAAAGCATCAAGAAAGCAAAGAATGCGGGAAATTTCAGGAGCTCAGTGGGACGTGATGGACGAAGCGCGTGATCTCGGCGGGTGGTTGAACGAGGAACCCCCGGGCGAGCGTTTTCATTACCGCAGTAGTGGCAACTTAACACAAACCAAGTTATCGGTTCAAAAAACGAGTGACGCTTCGATCGATTGAAGGAGACTCAACAACCAACAAGTCTGGACGTAAGCGCAATGAGACATCGAAGTGAGGACTGACGAGACAGGCCTTCAGGCCACAGCGTTTGCTTTGGTCTCGTGACAAGGGATAACCATATGTGTCGAAACGTGACGTTGTTTTACAAAGCGTGACCAAGCGTGTCAAAGCGTGACACGGCGTGACCTGCTATAAAGGCTTTACGAGACGTCATCTTAAGTGTTAAAATACGTCGAAGATTTGAAAAGTGGGTCTAAGCGTGACCTAGCGTGACAAAGCGTGACTAGGCGTGACGTACCGTAACGACGTGACGAGATGTGGCCAAAAGTGTCGAAACGTGACGAATATTTACAAAGCGTGACCAAGCGTTACTAGCCGTGAGGTACTGTAGCGGCGTGACGAGCTGTAGCCACAAGTGTCAAAACGTCACAAACATTTTCAAGACCTTACCTAACCTAACAAAATCCACTGAACAAACAACCTAACCTAACCCAACCAAACCTAACCTAACCTAACCTAACCTAAGCGAACATTTGTAACCTAACCCACATGTCGAAATGTAATCAAACGTATTGCAAGTGACTCCAAGAAGCTGAAAGCTGACGTCTCTGACACAAAGTTTTGCAGTTTCTAAAAAAATGTAACGGCTTTGCTAACTCTTACAATTGATTTCATTGTTTTTTTATGGAGCGATTCTTGTCGAGCGCTTGGCCATGAGTTACGCAGTTCCAGGAGGGAAGTGTGACATTTGCGTTCATTTTTATCAGTGAACATACAGAGGGACGCTTTGCTAGTATAAAACGACAATGAATTATTCAGTATTCAGCCCAGAATATATGTGAACGATGGATTTTGTCGGGCACAGAAACTGCAGGAGGTTAGGAACTCTGATGTTCTGACTTGGAGGAATGGAAATATTTATACTTTCGTTTTGTAAAATCCGTGAAACGATGTATTGCTTTCCGTTTCTGTCTCTGAAAATTGCTGTTTTATTCTTAGCAACGGTTGTCACAATATTTAGGATTTAAACAGGACAGTCTGTTATAAATCAGCATGTCCACAATCTCAGCTTCTTTGTACTGTAAAGTTCACATAAATAAATGATATCTCCCCTTGACACAGGAGAGTGTTGTCTTGCCCACGTCACTGTGGAGTTCACCTGCAGCTGCTCTGGAAGTCGGCACGCAAAACTGGTTTCCCTTTTCAGAAAGTCGCAAGTGAATGCTCTATAATTTATGCAACTCTTAAACGTTATTAAGTAAACTAAAATAACGAGAATCTTAGGCAGAGGCGGGGTGTTTATGTTAGGATATGTAGAGTGATGCCAGTGCATTGCAGTAAGATAGCATCTGTAAAGTGGATTACCTCAGGTTTTACTGAAGTCAAACAAATGATAAGTAATCGCCCTGATGAAAGAGGCAGTAAGCACCTTCGAAACGTCTGGTAATTTCTGCCAGACTTCATTATAATGTAAGCTATAGGTAGGTTCTGATATGAAAAATAGGCCTTAAAGCAGTTTACCTATTGCGGATGTAATTTTTGGGACTTGCATACCTTTAGACTGGCACCGGCAAAATGTATTCAGAGAGTGCAAATTCCTGGTTTCGGTCTTTTGACAACATATGCCTTCTATTATTCTCTTTACAGCCTCACCAAATTTTGTGACGACCTATTATGCCGGGCTGGCTACCGACGTCTGCGTTACACTATTCTGGTTTCTGTACAGACATATAGGAGCACTGCTCTATAGCCCGGTTCACAGATGGCCATGATGGATGTAATGTTGCATAACTAAATGGATTTCGTAGGTTTCAAAGAATGTCATTTTGTCCATTGGCATTGTCATAAGGTCCGGACAGGTGTTAGCTGTGAATGTGATTGTTTCATCGGTGAATCTGCGTTTAAGTTCGTCTTCGTTGGCATACCTGTACATGTTGTGATGTTCGTACATACGTTATCAGTATGACGTTGGTATGATTGGTATTGTTGACGTTTAGGATTAGGGTTTATTTGTTTAGCTAGACTCTGTGTGTTTTATGTCTTGTGAAATTACGGAGGTTAGATTGTAGTTTACGGTGCACTTTCAGCTTCTCAGAAAATAACACGCGTATAGGTTGTATTCCGCTCTGGAAACGATGAAATAGTCAGTTACGGCACGGTATGCACATTTATTGCATTTGAACTTTCGATTGAAGTCAGTTTGTTACTCTGTGGGTTTGATTAAGTTTGGTTAGGTAAAGGCGGGGTACCCTCTTCCATGGTTTATATTTTTGAATATGTTTTTTAAATACTAGTTTAGATTTTTCTGTCATTCTTGACTAGCAGTTTTCTAGTTGTAAAGTAATTACATACTTACAATCTTGGAATCGGCCAAAAACCAGATTCCATAACAGTATGTGGGAAATGGTCAGAAATGTTTTTATGAAATGTAATGCTAGTGTAAATTGTTTCTCACTTTAATCATTTCCTGTGTGTGAAGTTAAAATAACTTTTTCCCCTAAAAAATGATATCATAATTGTGTCAAATACTTGTGTGGAGAATTCTCTGACAGCTTTAAAATTATAATGGGGAAACATTATTGATTTTTGCTCGTGACATTATGCTTTTACTCTGTGCTTTGTTTATGAAGATTTGTGGTTCACATAAATCTGGTAATAGAATTATTGAAATCATTACAGTGTGACAGATTGATAAAATGGGTGAGGTGGAAGAAGTTCAAGGTCGCAAGGATGTAATGCTTGAGAGGGATGCTTCAGTTGAAGATTCAGAACAGCTGAAGCCAGTGGTGGTGCATATACCACGGGTTGCTGCACGTACAATTACTGGCCCTGCCAACTTGCAGAACCAAGATGCCATAGACTGGTAATGGCATACTGTATTTATCTGACTACTGGCTACAAGCTGACAACATATAAGATTATCTTTTCAATGGAACATTTAAAAGGAATAATTTTATTTTCTATAAAAAAAATTACCTACAAACAGTACTTTGGAATCAATGGGAAATTTTCGTTTCTCTTCATAGATGTCTATTTTAGACCTTCGGTTTCCTTTTGTAGTCGAACTTGAACCTAGTAACTGTATTTTTTCATTCCTCCATTACCATTCATTGGCTTTGGAAATACTGTATATTCTGGATGTCACATAAGTTTTTGTCTCTTAGACATACTTTGTAACCACTAATTTAAAATTGATATTGTATGCAGTTCATGATGGTGTGCTTGCACTGCATGTTTTATTAAATGTTTAGAATACAATATAATTTATTGAAATTCCATAGATCCTTCATAGGCCTAAGCCAAGGTTGTATAACATGTTATAGCACAAATACAGTACTTTTTTCTGTTACAAATATTAATTCAATTGTTGTGACAGTAATTTATGGGCAGCAAAAAAGCATAACCTGCTGTCTTTAATTATCTATAACTAATTAAAACACTTTAAAAGTAGTATCTTTAAAATGAACATCATTAATGATTAAGAAGCATATAAAATGGAAATATTTGGGCATTTGAGTAAGAAGAATGACTGATAATAGAAATTTTCTGTTCTGAAGCTTGACTTTGCCATTGGAAGTTGAAAGTTAGTACTTAGTGCTTAGGAGAAAGATCACCAGGTATAAGAGGTAATTGATGTCAGTTCTGTGAAAGGTGGAAAATATGTATAGAATATATCATATCCTCTTGCCCAGAAATGCACTTACAATATCTGGGAGTGCTGAATTTGAGGAGTAGATGAGCTTTGGTGGGTGACACCACAATCATTTAATTGTTTTCAATTTAATGTTTTTCAGGGGGCATCATGGGTTGTTGGCATATGGCTCAAACTACACAATAGTGGTGATTGACACTAAAAATGTTCAGCCAATACAGTGTCTTGATAAACACAAGTCTATGGTGAACAAGGTAAGAGTGTAAAGATATGGGAACAAATAAATAAAGTTTATTATACCAATTTCAGTCATGATCACTAACTGCTGAGGTAAATCACCAGAAAATACTCTGTCCCATATTTTGGAGATACTGAAGGTTTTTGTTGCTCTTATAGCTGACTTTTAATGGTGTGTGTTTCACTCCATTTATGATACTCATTACCACCATAATATCAGTTTGTGTGTCCTAATCTCAGCCAGTATTACACCTACCTTCAGAGCAGAATATTTTAAATTAAATTGTTCATCTGTCAGTGTGGTTATCTTCTAAGTTCCATTGCTCTTGTAAGTCATATTTTTATATACTACAACGCTTTTGTACCCGAGATGAGTACGACTATCTGTTGTTACCTGCAGGTTTTGTGGGAAAGAAGTAATCGAAACAAAGCTGCAAATGAGCCATCATCACTGCACTTGGTGTCATCTGATACAACTGGTCATATAATTGTATGGGATGTTGTGACAGGAAATCCAAAGGCAGTATTGCAGGAAGGAAATAAACCCATACTGGGTAAGCAAACATGTTACAATTATGAAAAGGCCATGATAAGGTATGATTCTGTTACATTGTTTAGTTGGAAATTGCCTTAAACTAAGGAACAAATTCCATATTAGCTACTGTTAATGAATTTTGCTGTTTTAATTAAAGTATTTTATTTATTTTAACACGTGTTGTCATATTATGTTCATTTGATTTCTATATTGATATCTGGTCTGGAATACAGTTTTACAAAGTAGGGCAGTTTTTGACAGAGGAGGGCATACCAACATGTCCATTTAAAGCTTAAAATATGAATTATTTATGTAAGACTTGCTCATTGTAACAGGCAGCAAGATTACAGCACCCACATGCTTTAAACCTGCTACTAAAATTATATAAAATTTAAAAAATTAAGGAGTCAAGAGTGGAGAGTGTCTTGCAGGGAATTGGTATAACCATCATATGCCCATCTGTGTTTTTTAAAATTTGGGATTCTTTTTGATTTGGAATTTGTGAGATTACAGTTTATATTTTTTTCAGCTGTGCCTCTGTTTAAAATAAGGACTTTCTCACTGAATAAGAAAGAGAGGAACGCTGATTATACTCACATACATGTTGGTCAAAAATTAAAGTGTGTGTTTCTGAACAGTAGAACCTATTTACATATTTTCTGTCATTCCTGGTTAACAGTTTCAATGCCTTTTTCATGGAATGAAAGGTTGAGTATAAAGTAAGATTGATTACTAATATTGATCAATTATGGATATTGATTATGGCAGACATGGAATGGGTATCAGGCTTTGATGGTGGAGAACATATGCTTGCTGCTCTCCATCCTCCGTACTCACTGGTTATTTGGGACACCAAGAACAAGATAAAGCTATGGAAGAAGACATATACAGAGACACTTGTGAGCTTCAACTTTGATCCTTTTGCACCTTCAAAACTTGCATGTAAGTTTGTTTATAATAACTGTTAGTACAATTCATCATGAGTTGTGTGAAATGTGTAACATTACATTATAAGGAGCTTCATAATCCTTTTATAGCTAGGATTATTAAATAAATTAGGATTAGAATTTGTTATGTTGGACTGTACCTCCATTTTGTTGTGTTGTAACATCTTATTTCTGTGAGTGAAAGAAGATGCTGCTTAGCCAGTTTCTTGCTGTCTGAACAGGGATGAATTGTTACGCAGTTGTAGATGGCTGTCGTGGGTTGTAGTACCACGTAGTCTGATAGAAGTTTACCAGTGTTTCAGAGGTTCTTACTGCCTCTGAAACTTTGGTAAACCTCTGCCAGACTATATGGCACTACAACCCAGAAGACAGCGAACTACGTACATGCGTTCATGGGGACCTGAAATCTCACTATTACACAGTTGTTAACAGCGTACCTAGAATTTATTTTTTACAATTTGACAGTTATTTAAAGCATGTACTTTTGTTTTAAGTAACTAATTATGTGTTGGAGATCCTTGAAATGTAGATGGAAAAGAAATGAAAGAGCAGGAGGGACTGGAGCATGTTCAGGTAGAAAACAGTTTTTTTCTGTGCTGATGTTTTTCTCATTGATATTTTATACTGTGGAATCTTTTAACATCAGTATGGTTAACCTTCTTCTGCTATCCTAATTGAATAAATTGTGAACATGGATTGAAATGTTTTCTCCAGTTCTCTGCAGTGATTGTATCCTTTTTGTGGATGACTTCATACTCAGTAAGGTCCCATCCTCAAATGGCCGCAAGTTTTACATTTCAAGTCCACGGTCAAATCTGTCTGCCAGTTCTGCCCGTGGCAGTGTCTCAAATTTGACCTCTGTTGGGCTGGAAGAGAAACAGCGTACCAGGGACCGTCTTCGGAGACTGATGAAAGATCTTGTGGTTGGAGAGACAAAACCAAAGTAGGTTGATTTCAGTTAACATTGAAATATTTAATAAAAGGTAAGGAAGGCCATGAATAGTTTCAAAGTTGGATTTGAGGTTTTCACAGCGGTGAGGCCGAAGATGGCTCTCTTCTGGGTTGTATCACTGTGTAGTCTGATAGAAGTTTACTGCCGTTTTAGAGGTCCTTTCTTCCTACATCATCAGAGCAAAAATGGAGGCATGAAGGACCTCTGAAACCCAGAAGACAGTCATCTTCTATGAATACTTACACTTTAGAAAATACCTGTTGTAAACAAACAGCTTGTAACATTCTTTCCACCTTATTACATTTACATTCTGTTTATCTGTTCTATCAAGATTTCCTATTTTGCTGAACATTTTTATACAGTTTATCAAGCGTATAATTTTTTGTCTAAATAGGCCAGATGACTACATGACAGTTAGTGAGTGTCTTCAGTTGGAATACCATCGTTCCCTTAGACATCACCTTCTGCTTGTGTATGCTCGAGAAGTCTTGATATTGGATCTTCATATCAACCAAACAGTTGGAATCATTCCATTGGACAAAACTGCATCACCTCTGTTACAGGTGTTGTGACTATAACACAAATATGTAATGGGTTTAATATAACTCTTAATGGTTTTTAAAAGTACTTTGAAAATTAATAAAACAGTTTATTTTGAGTTTTTAGAGAGCATGAAAGAACTTCATGGAACAGTACAGTGAATGTTAAAGTATTTAAGGGTTCAGTTTTATGAAACCTTGCTTCTGGTATAGAATTAAATATATGTAGGCATGCTGCCTTGAAGTGTTTATCATCACATTTCACTGTTATTTATTACAGGTTAGGATACTATTTCCAGGATATCAGCAAGGTTCCTTAATCAGTATTGATACCCTTCAGAGCAATTAAAAATGCAGCAGTTTCAGGCATTGAGTGATACCACCTCCCCACATTGTACATCATTAAATGGTTTAAATATTGACAGACACTCGACTTTTTATAGAAAACAGAGAAAGAGGAAGTTAGTTGAAACAGAACATGAAAATCATCCAGTTATTTATTTCTGTCTATCACCATTTAGTATGTTAATTTATTGAAGGTGAAATCTGTCCGTCAGCGTGAAGTCTTGTATTGCCTTCATGAATCTGGCAGTGTAAGCGCTAAATTCCGGCGCAGGCAGCTAGCATTTGTTGGTTCTCCACTAGATGCCTCTGTAGGCAGTGTTTGTAGTTTAGGTAAGTTTTCAACAGAGAAACTTTTATATACAGCAGAGGTAGCAGTGTCATGTTACAAGTAAATAATTTATGTGTATTCTTAATTTCATAAAGTGGGATTATTTTAGATACTGTCATCTTCAGAAGGACATAATTTTTGTTTAATTTGTGAATATTATGTTATTTCCTATGATTATAACCATATAGAAATTTGTGTTTATAAAGGTCATTCAGATTCACTAACATGCCAGTCCTTGATTTGATTTCATTCCATATTTGAATGTTATTATGAATCATACATTAAATGAAATTTTTTAGTTGTCTTCTACCTTGGATCACTGAAGTCTCTCTGAGGCTAGATTGTTTATTGAAGGTGGGTATAATAATAATAATAATAATAATTTATTTACATTCCATGGATCCATAAGACAGTGAGATGACAATAGGATGTGGAAAAAGTCATAATAATTCAATTCAATTCATTTATTAAAGTGCTTAACAACAGCCAAAAAGGCCAATAAAATAATAATAATACAATACATATTATAAAGTACAATTCATACTATTATATAATCTCCAGTGTCAACTTGCTGGATGTTATAGCTTTGTCACTAATTTTTAGGGTTCTTATCAAGCCCAACTACCTAAAGTTGAAACACTTTAAAAGTAAAATTTCAAAGATAAAGATGGGAACAGTGGGTTAGGTAAAGTGTCACACGGAATAAAGGCAGAACCAGAACATGGGAAAAAATTAGAGATTGAGAGGGTTTGTGGGAAGAGAGATATAGGTGGATAGGCTTGGTTGTCAGGCAACACACTTAAAGGTGAAATATCTTATGAAGAAGAAAATTTGCAAGCTGTGGTCTCTAATTTTGTGCTTTCCCGCTTACTGCATTTGGAATTGATACCCAGAAATTTTAATGACTTGATTGAGAACAGAGTTATGCTTGCTTGAAGTTGAAGTGTAAAATGTGGTTGTTAATTTTCAAAATGAAGTGATTTGATTCTGTGATCTGTATTTAGATATGGGTTCAGTCACTGCAGATGTGTTTGTGGAAATGGGTTATGAACAGCGCTGTCAGAGTGAGGTTGTACGACAGACAAAGGGCCTGAAGGTACTTGGCATGGCTGTCAATCCTGTTTGTGAGAGGAGGATAGGTGCGTGATTCTTGTGTTATTTAAATGTAAGTTACATTTGTGCTGATTACTGTACAACTTCAATAACGTTCAAACATTCAGTGGAGTTATGTATGAATTATTTCTATCTGTTTCTTTTGTCTACAGAAATTGTCTTGCATAGGCATATATGTTTCCCTACTTATGTTATTCGTGGAATATATCCATCATACATTTGTTCTTTGTGTGATATGTACATACATTGTAAGGAATCCTATTTACAGTAAAGTATGTGAATTCTGTCATAAGAGACAGAAACCTAACAGTTATTTCTGATTTTAGCTCTGTTCATGAACACTGGAAAGGTTGTATTCCTGGAAATGCGCCCAGCCTGTACAGAAGTACCATTCTCTCTTGTGGCTAGCCCTGGTATGTTATCAAATCTGTTGGTAGACTGTGCCAATAAAATGAGCAATTGTGCCCAACGCAAAGAAACCCTCAGAGAGCTAGTGGGACCACTTATGAATGTAAGATGAAGTTTCATGTTTTGCATGCATACTAAATGTGTTGATTTAAACATTTTTCTCCTTAACTACCCAACATTTGCTGTTTTTGCAATTGAATTAGTTTAGGCTGCTGTTCATGTTACATCTTGATAATTTAAAGAAAAAAATATTGATGTGTTTGGTGTATGTAAATGTTTTTTACTTCATTGTCTGAAATTTATTTTTAAAATGCCTATCCCTTTTAGGCATTTGTTGCAACTATAATTAGGTGTCTGCTAGCTTTATTGAGCTTTATTGTCTGCCTGAATTCCTACATCTAAAATTGCTATTCTGAATGTGCACAGTTTGTGGAAGTCTGGTGTTATAGCCCCTCATAAATATGTAATTAAATTTAATTTTAGCCCAAGTGAAACATTATGAAGTATGAATTGATTATCTTATATATTAATATAATATGACATTTTCTGCATACATTTTATGTTTTAATTAACATCTGCCATCATGAATCAGAGTTAATTTTAAATTACTCTGATTCATGATGCAGAAGTTGTTTAATCAGGACTCCCTAGATGTAGATAAGTACAAAATTAATCACTCTCAGTGACATAGTACCAATACTTTTGTATTTGGGATGTCAAGTGGTTCAGACCTTGGGCAGAAGACCAGTTGTCCTAAGTGATGTTATCTGTGGTTTACCTCTGTACATTTAGGCATATTCTGAACTGTTATCTTAAACTGGATGAGCACCATTTTCTTTCACAGTCTTTCCAATTCACTGTTCATGATCATACTGTCATTTCTTACAGAACATTATATGACTTAGGTAGTTGAATTGTGTTGTTAAATAAACCAAACTGTTATGGGTTCAAGTAGACATTTTGCAGCTAGTATATTACTACCTTAACTGTAGTATTATTCACTAGGATTGTGGTGTTCCTGTACCACCATTGCGGCTGCTTGTGACGGGGATGCTGACTGGAGCCGCCTCACCATTCACAGTGATACGCATGTGCCCTCCTCTAACAACTCGTAACTGGCAGCAGTATACCCCCCTTTTGGCTGCTGGAACTACCACTGGTATCATACAGATCTTCAATATGGCGACTGGAACAGTGGACAAGGAACTTAGTGTTCATTCATACACTGTCAGGTACACACTGTCCCACTGGTACTAATTACTCTGATGTTCTCAGATAATTGATTTTCCTTTATATTAAGTAGTTCTTAATGAATGGGATGTATGTGCCTTGGGCTAGTTTGTATAGACGTTAGATTCTCATGGCAAGATATTTAATTTAACTAAATTAGTTATGTAAATCTCTATCGATAAATTTCAGTATTTTCTTCTGTGATCAACCTTAAACAATTTATCACATTAGCAATCTTACACTTACATAACTTTTTTAAATAAATAAAAAAACATGTTTAATACATGTCAAAATTATGACATACATTGCAGGCTTCTGCAATCGAATACTGAAGTGGCAAATCTAGTAATGAACAAAATATTGTAGCAGGTTAAATTTATATTTGATGAAAAATGAAGAAACTGAAATTTTTGTAAAAAGCCTCATGTAAAGTAGCCCCGAGGAAGACTGTGTTTAAGATGGGAGGAAGATAGTATAATGAATCTGAGGTCAAAAATGCATAAAGGAAGCATAGGATTAAGGGTGGCATAAGAAAACTGAGGTGGGTATCTAGAGGGAAGGAAGCAAAGCATAATTTAGTTTTCATAGTTGGTATTGTGTTGATTTTTTTTACAGGGGAATAGAGTGGGCAAATCTAACAAATTTCCTGTCATTTGCTTACCCAAATGTGAGCAGCACACAGGGACAAGTCCGCAATGAACTGTTTCTCACTGATACACTAACTGGCAACTCCTTGCCCTTGCGAACAGATAAGGGTGATGAACCACCCATAAGTATGGTACGAGTGTCTCCTCTGAAGTAAGTACCAAGTGACAAGCAAAACACTATGCATTTTTCTTCTCTCTCATGCGGGCTACATGCCCTGCCCATCTCATCCTCTTTGATTTGATCAGTGTAATTATATTTGGTGAGGAGTGCAGCTTGTGAAGCTCCTCATTATGCAACTTTCTCCAGCCTCCTATTATTTCATTCCTCTTGGGTCCAGATGTCCTCAGCACCCTGTTCTCAAACACCCTCAGTCTATGTTCCTCCCTAAGTGTAAGAGACCAAGTTTCACACCCATACAAAGCTACAGGCAAAATTATAGTTCTATATATTTTAATGTTCAAATTTTTAGACAGCAGATGAAAAGACAAAAGTTCCTGAACTGAATTGTAGCAAGCATTACCTGAATTTAATCTGCTCTTAATTGCCACATTTGCAAAGGATCCATTAGCTATATTTATGTTATGATTTTGCCCTGCATTCTGATGACGAGACACCAACATCCTTGTTGAAATCAATTTATGTATATACAATCATACCTTTTGTTACTAGGCATTTAATTTTGCTCTTTCTTCTGTTTGTCCTTTTTTCTTTTCTTTTCTTTTCTTTAATACTTACAGTAATATATTTTACTTTTGCAGGCAATACTTTGTTGTAATAATGAAAGATGGGCCATTTGAGCTGTGGGATCTTCGAAACATATGTATACTGCGGACCATGCCCAAGAAGTTTCCTTTTGTCACCGCTCTGGTGAGTTTAATTTATTTAGCTCTCTCAGGGTCTGCTTCTACCGGTTCAGGCTCTATAAGATTCTGTGCCATTTAGTTGGTTTTATATGTACATAACTTCATCTAAAATGTTTACAATAATTCTTCCCAAGCATTGTTTTTGACTGTTGCGTGCCAGTGACAAAGCAAATACAAATTAACACAAGGCAGCCACAATATAAACAGCAGTTATGACACAAGAGATAGAAAAATAACTCTTGTTTGACTTTGGTATAGTGTGACTACTGTTACGTACTATCATCTGGTGGTAAGTTCTTTCCAGAACTTCCATCTGTCATTCTAGTGATCATGAAGAAGTAAGTCCTGAACCCATGCACAGGCACCTGATGATTTTTTGGCAGTTGATACTGTTCCAGACTATAAACAGCAGTTATTTGTTAGTTGAGTATTTTCA